CGAGGCGAGAATGAGGTACCAAATGAGAGGAAGGTATCTCTACTTAGAGACTCTCGCAGTGAAATTCTCGTGTGTTGATCACAATCGGCATCATATGAATGTAGGGAAGAGAAGCGTAGTAAGATTTCTAAAGGACTAATCTACCGAATGTCCACGAGAGAATTAGAAGAACTGAAAAAACAACTACAATAACTTACAAAAAAAAGATGGATTCGAACAAGTTCCTCTCCTTATGGTGCACCTATCTTATTCGTGCATAAAAAGGAAGGTGAACTCAGACTGTGTATTGACTATTGAGGACTAAATCCCGTAACGATCAAGAATGCAGAACCCCTTCTTGGTATCGATGTCTTCTCGATCAACTGCGGGGTTACCAGTACTTCAGTAAGATTGATCCGAAGTCAGGATACCACCAAATCGAGGTGCCACTTGAAGATCAACACAAGATGGTGTTCAGAACAAGGCATGGACACTATGAGTTCATTGTCATGCCTTTTGGATTGACTAACGCCCCCGCAGCCTTTTAGAGGTCAATGAACGAACTGTTTAGATAGTGGCTAAATCAATTTGTAGTGGTGTACCTTGATGATATCCTCGTCTACAGTCAGACGTTGGAAGACCATTAGAAACACCTACGGATGGTTCTAGGAAAGTTAAGAGAAAGTAACCATAGGTTAAATCCTAAGAAGTCCCCCGAGTTTGCTAAGTCTGAGGTACTTTATCTTAGACACATAATGAATGAAGAGGGACTAAGGCTTGGATCCCACTATTGTTAGTGAGGTCATTTTCGGGCCCGAATTCGGATCCCACAATGTACCGGGGTGTTCGGGACCCGAAACAAAATTCGGTTGTTTCTACTCACTATGCGCATCGTGTCAATCAGGTCGTGACACCTGCCGTGAAACGACACTTGTTTCGCAAAAGCAGGCATCCCCCTACTCTGCCCCTTGAAAGATGGCGCAGAAAGATGTTTTTTCTTTTTGGACCGTTGGAATGTCTGTGGTCCTGTCGGTGCGACGCAACGATTTTTCCTCACCGAGCTAGGCCGCAAGTTGTCAGTGACAGCAGAGTGAAGGCGTTGGACATAAAATCGGACCAAGGGAACGCTGCAGGTTCCTCGCACCCCGACGCATATCGACACTGTTCCCGCAATGTCCCTGGAAGGTCGGGCATATGGGATGCGAGAAAATTTATACGACGCGAACGAGAAGGTTCCTGCTCCTACGGGACTTTTTCGACTTTTTTGTTAAAAGCGCGATGTGGGATCCTAGCCTGAGGCCCAAAGAGAAGAAGATCACTGCAATCAGAGATTGACCCAGACCTAAGACTGTCACCGAGTTGCCATTTTTCTTAAGACTTGCTAGTTATTACCAAAAGTTTGTGAGAAACGTCTCCCTAACGGTTGCATCCATGAGAAAATTGTTGAAGAAAAAAAAACATTGGTTATGGGACAAAAACTGTAAGTCCTCGTTCAAGAAGTTAAAACACTCGTATTGCTGACCCACTACCTTGTGTTAAAGATTGTTAACTCATCATTTCCTTTCATTGTCACAACTGATGCTAGTCAGTCTGGGATCGGGGCTGTGCTACAGCAAGACAACGCGAAAGGCTATAAACCTATAGAGTTTATGTCTAAACGCCTTCCCTCTGACGAAGTAGCTAACTCCATGTACGAAAGAGAATTGTATGCCTTAGTGGAAGCACTGGAGACTTGGAAACACTACTTGTTCGGACGACACTTCACGGTTTACTCAACCCTGAAGTGCATCAAGACTACTCTCCGACCCTGCGACAAGTTAGTAACATGGTCTGGATTCATCGACACATTTGATTGTGAATTGAAAACCATTAAAGGAAAATCGAATGTTGTTGTTAATGCTTTGTCTATGCGTTATTATTTCTTTGGTACGATTGTTACCTAACTCGACATTGAGAAAAGTTGAAGGACCGAATTCGTCAAGGGTACGTTGGAGATCCAATTTGGAGTCTTATCATCCAAACCCTTTAGAAAATTATGAACTTTTTCCTGAATACCAAATAACTGATGACTTGCTTTTCTTTGTTGATCAATCCGAAAAAAGAATTTGTATTCCCCATAGAGAAGACATTAAAAGTATGATTTTTTTGAAATGTCATAATACTGAGGGTCAATTCAGGTTTAAGAAGACATACGTTAATGTGAGAGAGTTTTTTGAATGAAACGGAATGAAAGAGGATGTAGTAACCTATACGCGAACTTGTCTTGTTTGCCAAAGGAACAAACCCTCTACTAAGAATCCCTTGGGACTACTACGACCACTACCTATTCAAGGTGAACCATGCGAGTCCATCTCTATTGACTTTATGAGTTTCACCAAGAGTCGAAATGAGAATAGTCAGGTAATGGTCATTGTTGACAGATTATGTAAGTATGCAATGATCATTCCTTCACTGCCAGAAGCTAAAACAAAACTCGTCATCCAAAAGTTTTAGATGCGATGGGTTTCCAAGTATGGATATCCGAAAACCATCGTCTCTGATAGGGATGTACGATTCACCGATCTACAATGGCAAAAGTCGACGGAAGCCTACGACACAAGATTGCCATGTCGTCAAGTAGACACTGTGAAACGCATAGATAAACTGAGCAAATGTGAACAACTATATGAGGCCTGGTCAAATTGATTGGGATGATTAAGATTGCAAGTGTCTATAATGTTCATACTGTTACTGGAAGAACACCTAACCCACTGCACAAAGGTTGGAAGCCTAGACGTCTCATTGATGTGTTGGCTAGGGAGCAAGTTCAGAGCCCACCCCCAGGAACAAGAGAATTTGCAATTTTGTATGAACAAGACACAACTGACGTAAAGGAGAACACAGAGAAAGCCCAACTACAAATGATCGACCAAGCAAACAAACATCGTCAACCTTCTTAGTTCAAAGAAGGAGATCTAGTCTAGATAAAGTCTAAAAAGTTTTCCCTCGAAGAAAATATCTTTCAAAAATGTTACCTGTCTATTATAGACCTTGGGGTTCTTAAGGTTATTGGAGACACATATGAACAGTCCTACCGAATTGACGTACCCCTCACCTCAAGACGTACCCCATCTTTCATGCTTCCAAATTGCTACCCTGCGTCGAAGTCCACGAGTTTTCCAACCGACCATCCATGATTCCCCCCTTAATGCACGAAGGTTACGAAGTCGAAAGAATTTTGGAACATAGATATTTTTCTACAGTTGGCAGGGGAAGACCCCGCTGAGACATTTTGTACTTCGATATTGTTGAGCTTTGCTCCTGACTGGGTTCATTGCAGTTTAACCGCTTTCTATTTTTAATTGGGAATGAATTTTATCCCACCCTCATATAAAATTTGTTCAATTTAATTCTATACACAACATAGTTTGTTTTTTTTTTTCTTCTTCTTTTCAATCTGTTATAACCCTTGGCTGATCCGACACGTCTGGTAAGCAAGGTGACTCAGGCGGTCCTGTTGTCACATTGTGTTTTTTGAAAGAACATTAAAAAAAAAAAAAAAAAAAAAAAAAAAA